TGGTCCCAGGAATTCATATACAGTAATTAAGTTAGGAGTGCTTTATGAAGCTATCCTCTGCAGGTTTTTCAGATCTCAGACCCACTTTTAATCCCTTCCTAAAATATAGGACTTTCTTTTTATCAATGTATGATCCTCCTCCCTGCTTTTCTCTCTCATTTTCAGTTTGTTTTCTTTTGTTTACCAAGACCTTTTAAGAAACAATGAAGCCAATGTGGTGCCCCACTAGTTGGACTCAATTTACTGCTTGAAGATCAGCACTATAGATCACCCAACTGGAATCTTTAAAAACCACAATTGCTTAGAGCTACCCAAATCACTGCACTCCTTCAAATAAATAAATAAATAAATAAATAATAATAATAAATTTTTATTTATAACCCACCCCTCTGCTCAGCAATTGGGGCGGTGTACAACAGATTAAAAATACAACAGGTAAAAACAATTCCTACCTCCCATCTCTTACCCACCCACCCTGTAAAACAGAATTAAACCATCATGAAGTTAAAAATAAGCCGAGATAAAATACTATGCAGCAGGTACAAAACAAGCATATCCCTTCTAGCATCCATTCCCTATACATTTCTATTCCCTATATCAAGTTAGCTAATTACATTGGGGCCAGAAGCCAGGCCCAATTTTTTCCCAAACCTTTCCCTTGCAAGCAGTACCTTCTCCATGGGAAGCTCAAATAGCTCAATTTTCCTATGCAATCCCTCTCAAAACAGTTATAGGAATGTATTTGCAGGACTTTCTGCATAGTTTGGAGCAAAAATTGTCTGAAAATGGCACAATTTTTTACAAATTGTAAGGAGTTTTGACTTGCGGTGGGATTGGGGGTTGGTGGATGGCGTCAGGACCACAAAAATGGGATCTGGGAGCCATATACAGCCCATGAGGTACATTTTCTTCACCCTGCCTTGTACAAAATAATCCAGTTCAAGGCCGCTTTAACTTCCCTGGCTCAATGCTATGGAATTCTGGGAACTGTAGTTTTGTGAGACAGCCTTCTCTATCAAAGAGCTCTGGTGCCACAACAAACTACATTTCCCAGATTTGTATAGCACTGATCTATGGCAGTTAAAGTGGTGTTAACCTAGATTATTTCTGCAGTACGGATGCAAAATTACTAACACACTCTGTTAAATGATAGGGCTGGTCCTACCACAAATTGCTTTTCTTCACTTTATCTTGTCAGTATAGAATAAATGTTTTTGATTTTGTCTCTGTATTCATTGTGTATCGACTCTTCAATTAACATTTTTTTAATATATATTTAAGGCAGTGTCCCGTCTTTAGCTGCTGGACTTCTTTTTGGGAGTTTAGCTGGACTGGGAGCTTACCAGCTGTCTCAAGACCCAAAGAACATTTGGCTTTCTCTGAGTGAGTGTTCCTTTACAATGTATCTATGTGAAATACATGACAATAATTCTTGCAATAACCTTTTGAATGAATCTATATGATTTCCTGGAAAATGACGATTAACACCATCCTGAGCAATTGTGGATTCTC